AAGGCGTCCTGGATCGCGGAGAATCCTCGGGGCTCCGGAGGAGTTCTCGCCTACATCGTCCATATAGGACGACTCGGGAACTCAACTCCTACCCCGGGCAGCTCACCTATCCCCTTATGCCCAGGGGAAAGGTATCAAGCCGTTTGACAGCAGATGCTAGCTGTCAAACCGGCTTTTACGCAAAACAGGCGAGAGGCAGCAAACAGCTGCGACCGACGAAATCGCCTGCCACCGGAAGTCCCCTTTAAGGTGATTTCTTGAGTTCTTGTTACAGTGGTGGGATTCACACAACTTGCTGAACCGAGGCACATCATGTTGTGTGTCAACCTGGTGTTCAGTTTTCCAGCCCACTGATGTGCATGTTTTCTCTCCAGAATATCACGGATATGGCTTGTGATGTAGGCACAACAGATCACAAGGTGTAACAGACTTCTTCTCAGAACAAGAAGTCTTAGGCTCCTGATCAGCAGGAGTACTTTTGCTTCCCTGCCCTGGGATTTCAGACCCCCGGAAAAGGCCACAGAGTAAGGAAGACCAAATTAGTTCACAGCTGAGATGTGTCCCTTAAGGGCTAGCGGCACTTTCCTCAAATCCCACCATTCGGGAATTCTGGGAGGTGAAATCCCGAAACACACCACGAGGAAGGCTGTGCCACTGACCCCTCCTTCTGAGTCTGATGAATGCGGTGGAAAGCCCACCGAAATGTTTGCTTCCCAGATCCCGTGAGGTTCTTGTCGTTAAAAGTTATTTGAAAGTAAATGATGGACAGGTGTAAATCCACGCCACGGGTGGAAATGTGTCCCTTGTCTCTGGAGATTTGCCAGGAGACTGGCAAAAGTTTTTGGGTGCCCGAAAGGCGTTGAAAATTAACATGACCTACTTTTAAAGTTCTGCTTACCCAATGTGTTGGGAAGAAATAACAGTCTGACTTTCCATCAGAGGGCAAGAGATGGGCGTAATTCAAAACCTCAGAAAAGGCTTCTGTGAGCCTGCTTTTCTTTCTTGCCCTGCCCACTGCTGATTCCTCCCCCCCCCCAATAGCTGAGTCTGATGGAGTAGGGAGGAAAAATCAGGCCTGCAAGCCATTACTAGAAAGTGCTGCAGCTTAGGTGAAAGTACTACACCTTTAATACAAAAGTACAGCACAAAAAGCATCTCCGAGCGAGCCTTTATCAAAGGACATAAATTATAGACCGGTAAGGAAGCACATAAGATTATTCAGATCCCTTCTGGGCCTAGAATTTAAGATGAGAAAACTAAAGCAGAAGCCTTGCTTGTGCCACGTGATCATTGGTATTGTTTCACGAACTGAAGGCAGGCGTGCGGAAGAGGAATAGGGCAGGCGTCAAATGCAGCCCTAAGAAGAGACTATGAACTGAGAGATTCCTGCAGGACAGCCAATATGTTTAGCACATTCAAATTGTGCTTTATACACATTACATACCAAGTTTTTTTTTTCTCTAGAGATGCTTAGTTCATCTCCAGTAATCCATATTCTTTATGGACTAGCAAGCAAGCGTACGTGGGTAGTCTGTAAGGACCCACCCCACTTTACATCTTAAGAAGACAGAACTCTTGGAATATCTCTTCCAACAGGCATCTTTATTAAGAGAAAGTGGTTGCAGGCGTTCTAGACAGGATCTAAGGGATCAACCCCTACCATTCAATGTTTTAAGTGTTCCCAAGCAGCCCCCACCCCACCGCCCTTCCGGGCGACGATCACTCATCCTCTCTTTTCCCAGATCCCAGGCGTTACATTGTTCCACCCCTTTTTCCTCACTGCCGGCAGAAGGGAGACTTCAGAGAGAGAGTAGATGAAAGGCGATGGCCATATTTTTATGGCCAGTCCTCTTGGTGAGAATCAACATCCAGTCACTTTGTAGTTTAAATGAAGGAAGTGAGAGTCATAAAACCCCCTTGCTCCCTCCTCCCCTTTCGTAGTATGACAGAATCCAGAGAGAGTAAGAAAAGGGTTTTTTTCAGAGTAGGTAGCTACAAATGAAATATAATTGGATTCTGACATCCTTGACTTACGATGTCAATTGGGACCAGAATTTCCACCATTAAGGGATGTGGTCGTAAATTACAACTGCATGACTGAATGACAGCAATCTCTGCCATCCTGGCTGCCATCATTAACTGAATTCCACAGTCATTAGGGAAGGCAATTCCTGCCAGCTGCCCCAAAACAAAGTTAGTGAAGAGGCCGGCAGGAAGTCGCGAGTCCCAGACTGGCAGGCAGGCAACTGGCTGCTGCTGGGTGGGGAAGAGAGGAAGAGGGCACCCCAGAGGGCACCATGCAGGTCCAGCAGGGTGCAGGAGGCGCCATGCGTGTGGGAGGCATGGTGGGGCTGCAGGAGGAGGCGCCTGTAAGGAGGTCTTATCCTAGATGCTTGCAAGTGGCGATCACCCCGTTGGGGAGATGCTGGAACAGCCGGAACTCCGAGGATCGGTTGTAACCACCGTTGGTTTAGTGCAGTGATGGTGAACCTTTTAGAGACCGAGTGCCCAAACCGCAACCCAAAACCCACTTATTTATCCCAAAGTGCCAGGGCCGCATCAGCATTGTGGTGCCTTCGGGGTTGGGGGGTGGGCGTGGCCCACTGGGTGGGCGTGGCAGAATTGGGGGAGATCCAGGGAGTCTCTGGTGGGTGGGGCAGTGGGCAGGAGGCTCGTCCTGCGGGGTGAGGCAGGGGGTAGGGCGGGGGGTGCCATTGCTGCGAGGCGAGGCGGGGGTGGCTGCTGCCTGACACCATCAGCCCCCGCACACAGAGGCCAGCAAGCGCATGGGGGGCGTGCTCTACCACCTCTACTTGAGCTTGCTAGCCAGCTGCTTCGCCTCCTTTGTGCTGGGTGGGGCTGCCACTCCGGGCGCCAGCGGTGACCTAATGGACATGCGCAAGCTGACGGCGGTGGAGGCAGGTGTGCCCACAGAGAGGGCTCTGAGTGCCGCCTCTGGCACGCGTGGCTTAGGTTCGCCACCACTGGTTTAGTGCTGAGGTGTTCGCTGAGCGAGCGGTTATATATAGAGGACTACCACTAATTCCACTTTTTTCTGTCTTCCTCCCTCCAGCTTGTGCCTATGAAGGCAAGCCAGCTCTGCTGCATCTGCTGTTTCTCTTCAGGTGGCAAGTGACGTGGCTCCACTTTTATCATGCAGCCCCCTCCTCAGACAGCCCCCCCAGGGGTCGGAGGCCCCCCTCCTCTTGCTCCCTCCTGGAACATGCATTGGCGAAATGGCCCCTACGGCAGGCGGGTCAACGCTCCCACCTCTGCCGCAGGAGCGGCAGCGGCTGGACCTGTGCAACCTGTGACAGACCCCTTTGCCTTTGGCAAACAAGGCCCCCGGGGCTCCCCACTGAGCAGCGCCCCCCAAGGAGACCCAGCACCTGCCAGAGGCTCTTCTTCATCGGCTTTCCCTCCACCGGCTGCTCCCCTTCACCTGTCCTCTGGGAACCTTCCTCACGCGCCGACTCCACCGTTAACATCTGTCTCAGCCTCCCAGTCAGGGGCCGGCAGCTCACTTCCCGCGTCCACAGCCTCCATGTCGACCTTCCCCAAAGGGGTAACCAACAGCAGCACCGAAATGCATCAAAGCGCAGAGCATGGCCCACCACGCCACACGGTGGAGCAGCCTCAGCCCATGAGGATTGCCCCTGAAAATCCTCTTTCGGCTTCCGTCCCGGGCAGGCTGTCGGGTGGGCCTGATGTGAGTAGGAATCCAGGCAACCCCGGTGCAGTCCCATCACCATTGCCGGCCTTCTCCCTCCTCCAGCAGGCGGTGCCTCAGTGGATGCCTCCCCAAAGTTCTTCTTATTTGCCTTACCCAGAGCCCCTGTCCCGAAATGCCTTTGGGAGTGCTGCGCATTCCAGCCTCTCTGTTTCCCATCCGGGCCCCCAGCTGGATCGCCACCCAACTCCCCCTCAGCAGCCTGGGCTCCCCGGCGTCCCCCAGGCGCCCTTCATGCTTGCCGAGGCCTCCGGTGTGACTCTGCCCCCCAGTAGCGCTTGGCAGGGCCCCCGGGGCACCAACGCTTGGGCCGGCCAGCTCCCCCAAGAACACTTTTACTTGCAGCCCCTGGAAGCGACTTATCCTTCGGGCCACCCGACCTCTCAGGAAAACATCGGCCACGCCCAGGGGGTCTCTGAGGCAGGGAGTCGGCCGTGCCCGGATGAGGCAGATTCAGGGACGATCTCCATGTTCTTCAAGGGGGACGAGGCTGAGAACGAGGAGATCCTTTCCTTGGAGAACAGCGGCCACGCTGCCCGAGCGGACGCGGATGCCTTCCACCAGACGATGGGCCACACGTATTACCAGCCTTTGCACGACCACCAAGGGCCACCAGCTCATTTTCCGCCAGCCCAGGTGAATGCAGCTATGGCGGCGGAGGCAGCCCCCAAGGAGGCGGACGCCCAGCGTTTCCCTAGAGTGGCAGTCGTTCAGCAGGCCAGCGAGAAGGCGCCCTTCCTTGGAGAGGATAGAGCCAGCCTCGTTCAGCAAGCGGGAAGCTGCTCGGCCAGCGGGCTGTACGAAAGTGTGGAAAACCAGGAGTGCGTTCAGAACCAGGAAGTCTTGCCGAGGGAGCCTCCGTCGCAGAGCTGTTCCTCCCCGGCGGCAGCCTCGGATTCCAGCCGGTACGCCTCTCTGGCCCCGCTGCTCCCCAAGAACCAGGCCGGGGGGAGCCATCTGGAAGGAGGACCCAACCTGGAGGCCCCCAGCGGGTTCCCACGGCCCGTCCGGCCCGACAGCGTCTCTTCTAACTACAGCAACTTGAGCCCCAGGAGCGCGGCTGGCCTTGCCCGGCCTCAAGAGCTGGGCACGTTCATTCAGCAGGAGAGCGGGAAGCCCGAGCAGGAGGCCTCCCGCTGCTTTTTTAAGCAGATTGACTCCTCTCCGCTAGGAGCAGCAGAAGTGAGGGCGCAGGAGCCTGGCAAGAATTACCACAGCCCCCCCTCCCAGGCGCCGACGCCTAGCCCCCCCAAGCCCATGGGAGTGTTTCAGACCAGTGTCAACAGCTGCTTTGAGCCAGTGAGGTCCCACAGCCTGGGCATGAAGCCCCCCGAAACCGATCAGGCAAAGGTGGTGGCCGAGCTGAGAGAGGACCGTCCCAGCCACAGGGCTGCCCAGAGAAGCGCTGCGGTTTCCGTGGCCTCCCCGGGGAATCTGGAGCAGCCTCCCGACAATCTGGAAACCCTCTTCCTGCCCCCCGCCCACTCCGTGCCCCTCTCCCTTGGGGGCAGGAGTGGAAGCCCCCGGCAGCCTGCCAGTGGGGCCGGGGTGGAGAAGAGAGCCACCACCAGAGCTCAGGGACTGGGAAAGAAGTGCGAGAGTCCAGCCACCACCCTCTGGGCGCACAACGAACTGCCCAGTTTCGGGGGCAACGTGCTCCTTGCCCCTGCCGCCCCTGCGGTGTACGTCCCGGCTAAGCCATCCCCGCGGGTGGTTCAGCCCCCGGAGGGAGCGTTGCCGAGCAAGCCGGGGTCCCGCGCCGGAAGCCTCCCCTCTGAGAATTTGGAAAACCCTCCCCAGCTGGGGGACGACGAGGCCGTTTGCTCTCAGGGGAGTCTGGGTTACGCCAGCCTCCTTTCCTCCCCCCCGACGGAGGCGCTTCAGAACCAGCCGGTCCTGCTTGCCCCGCCGAGTCAGATTGGCGGCTTGGCCCCGCCCGCCGGTTCCTCTCTTGCCCTTCAGCTGGGCCAGCCTGAAAAGAAGCCCTCGGCCAAGGCCCCGGGCACGAACGGGGGCCCCCTGCTTGGGAAGAACAGCGGCTGCACGGAGAGCCTGGCTGGTGGCCCAGTTCACTCAAACGCTAGTTTCTTCCACAGCCCACTTGGCACAGCCGAAACGGCTGCCCCCAAACCGCTGGTTCAGTCTGCCCCCCTTAACTTAGCTAGGGAAGGCCCCCAGCCCCCCGCCACAGAAGGGCTGCCTTCAGAGAGTGCTGGCCAGCCGGCTGCCAGTCTTCCTGTCTCCCACGCCGCTGGCCTGGCTCCACTCGGGGGGCCCAGCAGTAGCCTGCCTGGCTGGCCTCAGAACGCCTCCAATTGCCCAGAGCTTTCCAGAGCGCTGGATCTGGCTGGAGCAAAGCCTCAAGAGCAGAGCAGGGCCGGGGCTGGCCCTCAAGGGTTCGGCCAGCCACTTTGGGGCAGCCAGGGCTTTCCTCTGGCGGCCGGACCGGCTGGCCCTGGCGAGGCCCAAGCTCGAGGCCTGCAGCAGTTCTACCAGCAGGTCACCAAGCAGTCGGGGCCCATGGTGCCCTCGGAGCGAGGCATACCTTTGGGGCAGGGCCCAGCAGCTCCTCAGCACCCTTCCCTTTCCCCCAACCTCCAGACGCCTCTGGGGAACCCTCATGCTCGGGGGCCGAGTCCCAGGCCTTGCTCCGGCGCTCTCTTGGAAGGCAGTTCAGCCCCGCCCCTGCCCAGCCATCCTCAGGCCAGCACCGACTTCAGGCAGGATCCCCGCCTCCCCCCCGGCGTTGGGCCTTCTCCTGGATCAACGGCCACAAGCGTCCCCCCACCTGCTCGCCCCCCCTCGCGCCACGAGGAGCAGTACCCTCCTTCGCAGAACCCCCAGAATGCCTACGGCCTGCCCCCCAACTCCTCCTACTACTACTACCGGCAGCCATATGACGGCTACTCCTACCCCCCAGTGGATCCGAGGGCTGCTCACCTCAACTACCAGGTAGAGTGAAACGTGCTCCGGTCCTCTTCAGCCACCCTCAGGGGGACCCCCTGGGCCGGGACTTGAAGGGAGATCCTGGGTGGGGCGGACTCAGGTTTAAGACGTTCTGCCCACGTTCACATTTAGGGGGGTTTCATCAGTACCTGGAGCAATTGTAGGGGCCATTTTTCAGACTAGAGATTTCTGCTGAAGGGCAGAGTTGTTGGCCAGGGGGGAGAAGGAGGAGGAGGAGATTTTGTCTTCCAAGGCCGCCTGTAAGGACCCACCCCACTTTGCATCTTAAGAAGACAGAACTCTTGGAATATCTCTTCCAACAGGCATCTTTATTAAGAGAAGATGGTTGCAGGTGTTCTAGACAGGATCTGAGGGGCCAACCCCTACAATTCAAGGTTTTAAGTGTTCCCAAGCAGCCCCCACCCCACCGTCCTTCCAGCGACAATCCCAGGCGTCACATTTCCACCCCTTTTTCCTCACGGCCGCAGAAGGGAGACTTCAGAGAGTAGTAGATGAAAGGCGATGGCCATATTGTTATGGTCAGTCCTCTTGGTGAGATCCACATTCAGTCCCTTTGAAGTTGTAACGAAGGAAGTGAGAGCCATAAAACCCCTTTGCTCATCCCCCTTCCCCTTCGTAGTATGACAGAATCCAGAGAGGGCAGAAATGGGGTTTTCCATAGTCGATAACTAGAAATGAAATATAATTGGATTCTGACACCGCCTTTGATATGGCGGAAGGTGGTAATCCAAGCCCCCAAACCCCCAAGAACCTCATTCCCAGCTGCCTTTGAGCCTGAAAGGCTTGTTTGAAGGGCTCCGAAATCACACTGGCCTTTTGGTGGCAGGGTTACAACCGGCTTGTGTTCATTTAATTTCTACCTGGAAATTTGGCCTTTGCTTTGTGTTCTTTTTTGATGCTTCTGAAACCCAGGAAAGGAGCATACCCCAAAGTTCGGCTCGCCTCTTGACTTGCTCCAAAGTAACGTAAACCTTTTTGTCTCTCTCGGAGGATGCTTACGGCCAGTACAGCGCGTCCTACACCCAGTACGACCAGGCGGCTGCCTATCGAGACTGGTACTCTGAACCTGAGCGCCCCAGTTCGAGAGCCAGCCACACTTCGGAGAGGCCGCGCTCACGGTAAGCGGCGTCGGCGTCTGAAAAGGCATTTTGCAAAAGAGGCAGAGGAAGCAGGAGCGCAGATGTAAACGCTTTTATTTGGCCCACTTTGGGAAGTGCAAGTCCCTTTTCAAGCGTGTCAGTTAATCCCAGTCATTCCCGGAAAAGCCCTTGAAAAGGGAACGTGATTTCTGAAAGCTGGGCCAATGAAAGCATTTTTACTGGCCTGTGAGATTTTCTTCTAGGTCACATTGGTGTCTGCCCCTCTCTCTTTCATCAAAGACATTTTATTGACTTTCTGGTAGGTCTGCTTCAATGTTCTGTGCCTGACCCACGCAGACTGCAGTAATATGGCCCAAGGGCCTATTCTCCTTGAACCCAGTGGAGTATTTGCCGTTCTCCTTCACTGGTGGAATTCCTTGTGAAATTGGACACTTTCAAAGACTAAGAAAAGGAGGCTGGGTGCTTAAGTAGGCTGGTCTTTCTCCTTTGGGTTGACATTTTGGTCACCACTAGTTGAGGAACTTACTACTGTTATTAATATAGAACAGTGGTGGCGAACCTGTGGCACGCATGCCAGAGGCGGCACTCGGAGCCCTCTCTGTGGGCACACGCACCGTTGCCCCAGCCCCAGCCCCACCTCCTCCCATGGCCCACTCCTCACCAGCAGCCCCCCCCAGAGGAGAGTCGCCCCGGGCGCGGCCCACGTGAAGCAGCGCAGCCAAGGACATGGTAGCCGGACAGCGGGGACAAGACTCCACCCTTGTGCCCCGTCACGCGCAGATGATGCTGCGGGGCACGGGCAGAGGGTGTGGCCCCCATGGCGCTGCTGGGTTGCCTGGGTGATCTGTGGCGGGCCGTGGAGGTGGGTAGCCCAGCGGACAAAACGGAGCAGGGACAGGGATGGGGGGGCGGTTTTGGGGCACTCGGTCTCTAAAAGGTTCGCCATCACTGATATAGAATATAGAATTCTTTATTGGCCAAGCAAAGAATTTGTCTCCGGTGCATAAGCTCTCAGTGTACATAAAAGCAATAAGCGATAAATCAGAGTCATCGTAAAAATACATCCATCATAAAGACACAACCCTTAGTGATAGTCATAGGATACTAAATAAGCAATCAACATGAATCATACTAGGATAGTAAATAAAACAATATATAAATCATAATATACAAGCAACAAAGCTATAGTCATAAGAAGATGGGGAATAGGAAGGATGAGAAGAATAGCAATACAGCCTCCCTAAATAGTTTGACAGTGTTGTGGGAATTAGTTGTTTAGCAGAGTGACGGCATGGGGGGAGGGGGGGGAAGACTGTCCTTGTGTCTAGTCGTTCTGGTGTGCAGTGCCCTATAGTGTCGTTTTGAGGGTAGAAGTGGAAACAGTTTATGTCCAGGATGTGAGGGGTCTGTAGATATTTTCACAGCCCTTTTTTTGGCTCGTGCAGTATACAGGTCCTCAAAACCTGGCAAAAATAAAGTAAATCACGGTCACATGTCCCTGGAACGTTGCAAATGGCCATAAATGCAGTCCGGTTGCCGAGCGCCCAAAATGCGGTCACGTGAGCAAGGAAGGGGCAGCCATCAGCAACTTCGGAACCAGGTTGTAAATACCTTTTGGGGAGGGTCACCATAACTTGAAATGGCCCCAAGGCAACTGGTTTCCAAGTCGAGAACTTACCAGTACGGGTGCCAAGATCTGAATTCCCCTCCCCGAGCACATAATATTCAGTCATAATTCCCTCCTCTAATTTGCAGTCATAAATCACGTTCTCCAATCAGTTTGAAGGGCAAAGTAGCCTGTGGGTTTCCTATCTTAACTAATCCCCACACACATTCTTTCTCCTCCCCTCCCAGCATCATCTAAGTCAGTGATGGCGAACCTTTTAGAGACCGAGTGCCCCAAACCGCAACCCAAAACCCACTTATTTATCGCAAAGTGCCAGGGCCGCATCAGCATTGTGGTGCCCTCGGGGTTGGGGGTGGGCGTGGCCCACTGGGTGAGCGTGGCAGGATTGGGGGAGATCCTGGGGGTCTCTGGTGGGTGGGGCAGTGGGCAGGAGGCTCGTCCTGCAGGGTAAGGTAGGGGGTAGGGCGGGGGTGCCATTGCTGCGAGGCGAGGCGGGGGCGACTGCTGCCTGACACCATCAGCCCCACACACAGAGGCCAGCGAGCGCATGGGGGGCGTGCTCTACCACCTCTACTTGAGCTTGCTAGCCAGGTGCTTCATCTCCTTTGTGCTGGGTGGGGCTGCCACTCCGGGCTCCAGCAGTGGCATAATGGACCTGCGCGAGCTGGCGGCAGTGGTGGCAGGTATGCCCACAGAGAGGGCTCTGAGTGCCGCCTTTGGCACGCGTGCCATAGGTTCGCCATCACTGATCTAAGTTAACTCTGAAAAAGTACCACACCGCTTATACGGAGAGTGGCTGCCTCTTCATATTTTGTCAAAGCAAGAACATCCAATGTTAGCAGCGTTGACAACGGGGTACCTAAAAATTAGCCCTGTAGAGCAGAAGATCCAGAAATATGTTGATTCATATTTGATCGATTGCATTTATATCCTGTGCTTATGGGGGTTCTCAGTCGCCCAGATCATGGTTGTCTCAAAAGATGCTTGTCAAGTGTCTGAGTAACGAAACACTTAAAAGGACTTTCAGGCATGTTTTCTCCTAAAAGCATTTATTAATGTTAAAGCCACATCAGCACAGCATGGAGGAATGCTTAGAACTGCTTCTCTTCCGTTATGCATAACATTCCAAACATTTTCCACTCCCTTATTGTAGGGTCATGGTTCACATCTTCCAATCAACTTGGAAGATGTGATTTACTTCCTGTTTCTTTCTCCCGGGCTATCCTTATGCTCCTCCCTCTTTCCTAGTTGCTGGTTTAAGTATATATATACCAGACAGTTCTGCACATTGTCAAAGCAAGAATATACAGTATTTGCAGCGTTGACAGTGCTTTTCCAAAAGGCGATTAGACTTTCCTTTCCAGAATCGGTCACCTTCCACTTCCAGTTTTGTTCCTGAGGAAGAACTGTAAAAAATAGATAGGACTCACATAAACATCCTGATCTCCAGAAAAAAAAAAAAAAACAGAAGTGGGGGTGAGGGGGGAGGAATCTGGCTTTTCTCAAGAAACAACAAGCTGATGTGTTTCAACTGTAAGAAACCCCCGTGTTTACTTTGCAGCAGCGCTTCACGTGTGTTGCTAGCCTTGGGACTTACGAACTTCAATCTTCATCTTTTATTTTCTCCCCCCCCCTCCCTCCCCAGACAAGATTATCCCGATGACTATTACACCACCAAAAGCGGATGGAACGGCTACTATGGAGACTATTACTCAAATCTGTATGATAACGGAGGTAAGGATATGCTCCAACATCAAAATATGCCAGTTTTAATATACGAACTCCCTTAGCAGAACCCAGATTTTTATCTCTTTCATCTCTGTAGAGGCTATTTAAAGACATTAAAAGTTTGAGCAAGCTGCAAGTAGCCCTTGACTTATAGCAACAATCGGGGACCGCATTTTGGGCATTACGTTGTTACAGTCTTACGTTGAGGCACCCGTGCGACCAGATCTGATTTTATGACATTTTTTGCACTGAACGCTATAGTTGTATGAGTCCATTCTTCCAAACTGATGTTTTTTTAATAGAAATCAGCAACAACAAAAAAACAACCATTGCAGATTGCTCCTGACTGTGGGAAACTGCAACCGGCCATAAAACCAAGTCCATTGCCAAACTCCCCAATGTGGGCACGACATTTTACAATTGCCAGACGAAATTTCAAACAGTCGTTAAGCGACGAGTCGTAAGTTGAAAACTGCCTATGTTTCAGGGACAGAGGCCACTTGCATTCACACGTAAAAGGATGCCGGTTAATTCCTGGCTATTCCTGATCTACATCCTGCCCACCGAGAGGAGACACAGGCTGTTTTTCCCTTTTTGAACCAGCTGCATTTCAAAGCAGTAAATGTAGAGCCTCCATGGCCACTGAGTGTCCCACTCTTCTGTTTCAGATCGTTACCCTTCAAACTATGACGCCAGGTTCCGAGATCCTCGGTTTTATGACCAGAGGTATTGGTACAACACGGATCACAACCTTTACCCAAAGAAGGAACCCTCTCAGCGTGGAAGCAGGTTTGTGAATATTTGATACCTCTGGGCTCCAAATGGATTTTGGGAATGGTGACCTTCTGGGCCATTTTGGGGGGGGGGGACTGTGTGAGCAGAGTGACGCAAACAGCATGAAAGACAGTTGGGACTGCTTGAAATGGTGTTCTTCCAAGAAGGTTTAGTTCTTAAGCATGACTTTGCACCGAGGTCCTGGGGTCTGCTTCACACAGAGAGTGTAAAATGAAGCCTCAAGACTGTTTTAACTTTGCGGGGCCTACGGCCTACTTTACAGCTTGTCAAGATCAGCCCCCTTGTGCGTTTGAGTTGGAAACTTTTGATCCAAGGAAGTGCTTGGATCAAAAGAGATTTGCCATGGGAGGCCAATAAAAAAAAACCCATTTTTTATTGACTAGAACAGAACAGAATAGAATCCTAGGACTGGAAGAGACCTTGGAGTTCTTCTAATTCCCAACCCCTTGCCCATGACAGGAGACCTCATATTTTGTCTTTTCTTGAAAACCTCCAGCAATGGTGCACCCACAGCTTAGGGTTAAGGTTAGGGAAGGCAAGCTTTTTAACGAGCTTCCATCCATAGTTTCTTACCCCACCCTCAGAAAATTTGGAGGGTAGTGTAAGTCCCTCCTCTGTTTCTCGTACGATTTATCTTCCATACCCCTTGTCATCTTAGTTGCTCTTTTCTGCACTATTTCTAGGGTCTCGGCAACTTTTTTATATTGTGATGAACAGATCTGGATGCCGTATTCCAAGTGTTTAGTATGAAGTGGTACTATCGGTTCATGTGATCTTGATGTATCAATGCAGGCCAAGTCCGCATTGGGGTTTTGTTTTTTTTTTGTCAGATGCAGCACACTGCTGCCTCATACTTGAATGGTTGTCTGGTAGGACCCCAAGACATCTTGCACAAAATAAGATAAGATAAGATAAGATAAGATAAGATAAGATAAGATAAGATAAGATAACCCAGTGATGGCGAACCTTTTAGGGACCGAGTGCCCAAACTGCAACCCAAAACCCACTTATGCGTCATCGGGTGCCGGGTGGGTGTGGCCCATTGGGTGGGCATGGCCCATTGGGCGTGGCTGCAGTAGTAATGGCAGACTGGGTGGGACTAAAAAGTTCAATCAATTCCAACTTTGCAACATCTTTTTTTTCCCCCCGTGAGAAGTTGAAATTGATTGATTGATTGAACCTTTTTTTTTTTGCACAGGGTGGCGGAAGCCTAAAGCGAAAAGGTTTTATAAAACCCAGCTGAAGGCCTAGGACTGGGGCAAACGGCGCGTGTGCCCACAGAGAGGGCTCTGAGTGCCGCCTCTGGCACCCGTGCCATAGGTTCGCCACCACGGAGATAACCTTTGTCATTTTTTTTACTGTGGGCACAACGGCACACATCAAAAATGAAATTTAGTTGCCCGCTCTCAAAGTGAAACACATACATGACGCACACCTAAACATACTATGAACAACATATGTATAGACCCACACCCCTACATATACGTAGCAAATAAATATTAAATACTGTCCATCTTGAATATATAACGGAAGGAGGAAGCTTGAGAGTTCGCAAGGTTAATAATGCTGTATGGAATGAAACTCTGGCTGAATCGGGATGTTCTGCTACGGATACCACGAGACCATCTGTTCTACACCTAGGCATTTGGTTTTTTTCCTGCCTAGGTGTAGGACCTAACTTTTCTCACCACTGAATTTCATTTTGTTAGATAGGGCCAGGTCTGTCAAGATCCATCTGAATATTGAGCCTATGTTCTGGGGCAGTGGTGGCGAACCTATGGCACGCGTGCCAGAGGCAGCACTCAGAGCCCTCTCTGTTGGCACGCGTGCCACCGCCACCAGCAGCAGGTCCATCAGGCCGCCACCTGGACCAGGAGCCTTGCCCAGCACAAGGAAGGCGAAGCAGCCGACTAGCAAGCTCGAGTAGAGGTGGTAGAGCTGAGGTCACCAACCATTGTCGATTGGTGGACTGGAAGAAAAGGGAGGGGGAAGCATTTTACATGCGTGCATGCACGCACGGGGCCGCGAGCACGCATGCGCTGCAAATGGGGTGGGGCTAGTGCCTGCGTTATACTCACTAGCCCCGCCCCATTCTTGCGTGGTGCAGCGCCTCGTATCTGCACCCCACGGTGCAGCAGCGGCCGTTTTTGCGCCTTGCAGCACGGTGGCCCATTTTTGCGCCCCCCAGTTTTTGTGTGCCAGAGGTGGCACTCAGAGGCACCTCCCTACCACCCCCACCCCCCGAGGGTACCACAATGCTGATGCGGCCCTGGCACTTTGCGATAAATAAGTGGGTTTTGGGTTGCGGTTTGGGCACTCGGTCTCTCAAAGGTTCGCCATCACTGTTCTGGGGTATTGGCTATTCCTGCCAGCTTGGTGTCATCTGCAAATTTGGTGACTTCCCCTTCTATCCCCTTGTCTAAATCGTATACGAAGGCTGGGCCTAAGACAGAACCTTGGGGTACCCCACTGCTTACTTCCCTCCAGGTAGATGCACTTCCACTAAGGACTCCACGCTAAGGGAAAGGGGGGGGGGGGAATGAAGGAAAGGAAAAGAAAAAAAGTGATTTCTGACTTTCTATTTGGTACATTCAATTACATAGTAAAGTAAAAGTCTCAACTTTTTACTCGCAAGTACTAGCCATTTCTATAACAACAGTTATTTAGCCATCACAAACCAAAATCCAAAAATCAAAACCTTCATTTTTATTTCTTTTGAGCGGAACTCCAGTTTCCCAGTGGAAACAAAGCTAGTTACGTTCTTTTCCTTTAATTACAAGAGTCAACTTTGCAACCTCTGCCAATTCCAACCCTTTTGGAATCCATTCTTCCGTTGTGGGGATTGAGGCTTCTTTCCAGTTTTGCAGGTATAAGATTCTCCCAAAGGCAATGAAATGCCTTTGTCTGTCCACTGCAGGATGAAGGCCTCTCCCGCCTGTTTCCAACCGATAACGGTCCTGAACTTTCTTTTGGCAGTTGGGCCCGCAATATTTGCCGTTGTCGTAAATCCATCTTGTTTTAGGTCTCTTTTGTGGACGCTTTTTATCATGTGGGATCCATTCTGTGGCTGCCTTGGTCCACCAGCCCTCGGTTCTTCTTGCTAGGTTGTTATTGTTGTTAATTGCGAAGTCGTGTCCGACCCATGGCGACCCCATGGACAACGTTCCTCCAGGTCTTCCTGTTCTCTACCATCTTCTGGAGTCCCTTTAAGTTCACGCCTACTGCTTCAGTGACTCCATCCAGCCACCTCCTTCTCTGTCGTCCCCTTCTTCTATTGCCCTCAATCTTTCCCAGCATTAGGCTCTTCTCCAGTGAATCCTTCCTTCTCATTAGGTGGCCAAAGGACTTGAGTTTCAACTTCAGGATCTGGCCTTCTAAAGAGCAGTCGGGATTGATCTCTTCTAGGACTGACCAGTTTGATCGCCTTGCAGTCCAGGGGACTCGCAGGAGTCTTCTCCAGCACCAGAGTTCAAAGGCCTCCATTCTTTGGTGCTCAGCCTTTCTTATGGTCCAACTTTCACAGCCATACGTTGCAACTGGGAAAACCATGGCCTTGGCTATACGCACTTTTGTTGGCATGGTGATGTCTCTGCTTTTTAGTATGCTGTCTGGATTTGCCATAGCTTTCCTCCCCAGGAGCAAGCATCTTCTAATTTCTTGGCTGCAGTCCCCATCTGAGGTGATCTTGGAGCCCAGGAAGATAAAATCTGTCACTACCTCCATTTCTTCCCCATCTCTTTGCCAGGAATTGAGAGGNACTTTTGTTTCTTCTCTAGTCCATGTGCAGGTCTTTCTCTCTTGTCTTGTAGTGTTGAGCATGTATGTTTCCATAGCTCTTTGTGCCACTTGTATACATATGTACATTTTCGAATTTCTTTTTTGTTGACAAAGAGTTAAAGGGGAGACTAGAATAGCTATTTCAATCTTATTAGCTCTCATCAGCTAGGCATACCCTTTATAGGATTTGAACCTGGGCAGCCTGCATATTAGGCAGTTGTATTAACATATGTACACACACACATACTCACACAGATATATATATATACATTATGTACCTTCAAAATTTTGTGGCTGACAAAGCGTTAGTGGGAGACTAGTATAGCTATTTCAAGCTCTTTAGCTCTCGTCAGCTAGTCATACCCCTCTGGGATTCGAACCTGGGCAGCTTGCATGTTAGGCAGCTGTTGTCATATGTCTGATTAACGAAACACTAAAAAGGACTTTCAGGCATATTTTCTCCTAAAAGCATTTATTAATGTTACAGATACGTCAGCACAATATGGAGGAATGCTTAGATCTGCTTCTCTTCCGTTACGCATAACATTCCAAACATTTCCACTCCCTTATTGTAGGGTCATGGTTCACATCTTCCAGTCAACTTGAAAGATGTGATTTACTTCCGGTTTCTTTCTCCCGGGCTATCCTTATGCTCCTCCCTCTTTCTTGGTTGCTGGTTTAACTATATAAAAACCAGACAGTTCTGCACATTGTCAAAGCAAGAACATACAGTATTTGCAGCGTTGACATCTGTATTATTACATACGTACACGAGGTGTAACTCTTGTGCTGCGGTGTTCCTTCTCTCTCGCCCCCTGCAGTCATGAGCGGTATGAAGACCACTGGCGATATGACCCTCGGTTTGTGAGCAGCTTTGATGAGGACCTGGAGCCGCGCAGGGATCCGTACGGGGATGACAGTGACTGGCGCAGTGTCCACAGTGAGCATTCAGGACACAGCCTGCACAGCTCCCGCAGCCGCCAAAGCAGCTTCAGCTCCCGTTCCCAGCAAGTAAGGAGGCCTTGCACATTCTCCACCAGTGTCTCTCGGCCGCTTCAAGATGGGTGGACTTCAACTTCCAGAATTCCGCAGCCAAATACGACGTGGCCGACTTCCTGTGGCGTTGGCTGTGCCTAGCTGGGGCAATTTCATTCCCTCCACATCATCTTAGGTTCATGCTTCTGTTGGGGTCAAAGGTCCCAAGTTGCTTATCCCAGTCAGAAGAATCGCTTGAAGCCGCTTCACCTCGGCTGGCTTTCGTGTGCCTCAGAGGAAATTAAAGTGCGTTCAATTGCAACTGTCTCTGCCAGAGAAATACCTTTATCCGCTAGTATGTTTTGGTTTCCCTTAGTGAGAAATGGGGCCTCCCAGTTTATCTGTGACGTTGTAGAACGTTCCTTGGTTTAAGGAAATCAAGCTTTCTAAATGGCTTTGGAAGTCAAGAGTTGTTTGCAAATAGCAGAGCATCTGTCTCCCCTCCTGTGTGCTACTCTGTTTTGGTTGTCAAATACCGTTAAGACAGTTACATCAGGGGTCCCCAATCCCTGCTCCCTGGCCCGATACCGGTCTGTGGCCTGTTGGGAACTGGGCTGTGCAAGTGGTGGGCGAGTGCATGAAGCTCCATTTGCACAAACAACAAGTATACACGCAAAACCATCTCTCCCTCCCTCCCTCCCTCTCTCTCTTTCTCTCCTCTTTCTCTTTCCTCTCTTCCCCTCTCTCTCTCTTTCCTCTCTCCCCCTCTCTCTCTTTCTCTTCCCTCTCTTTTCCTCTTTCCTCTCCCCCTCTCTTTCTCTTTCTTTCTCTCTTTCCTCTCCCTCTCTCTTTCTCTCTATCTCTTTTCTCTTTCTTTCTCTTTCCTCTCTCCCCCTCTCTCTCTTTCTCTTTTCCTCTTTCCCCCTCTTTCTCTTTCTTTCTCTTTCCTCTCCCTCTCTCTCTCTCTCTCTTTCCTCTCCCTCTTTCTCTTTCCTCTCTCCCCCTCTCTTTCTCTCTCTTTCCTCTCCCCCCTCTCTCTTTCCTCTCTCTCTCTTTCCTCTCTCTCTCTCTCTCTCTCTCTCTCTTTCCTCTCCCTCTCTCCCTCTCTCTCTCCCTCCCTCCCTCCCGCCCTCCTCTCACATTCTGCCAGGAGACAGGCCGTTTTCTGGCCTTGGGGTCTGGAACAGCATCCAGACTGAGGAGGCTCCTGTTTCTTTGACCCTTACATGCCCTTCTGTCTCTCCTCCAGAGCCAGCGGTATCGAAGCAATCACGACCTGAGCGTTAACGCCTATGACGGTGACCCTCAGCCACCCTCAGTCCATGCAGACTATTCCTCTGGGGGATACTACATCAACCAGCCACCTTTGAGCAACTACGATCCCTTAGCCCAAATGTCTTGGGCAGGGGTAGAGCAAGGTATTTTTTAAAAAAAAATGCTGTAGTAGTGCTGGAGGGGTCTAGTAATTCCACCTGACTTCGTAGTTCATCTCCTAAAAGTGAATTCTCCTAATAGGAATTCTCGTTCGCCTGGGGATTTGAAGGACGTTTTGCGGAATTGAAATAAAACGGACCTTTCAGTACATCTTACAGTTGCTGAGGCCGAGAAGCACTGCTCTGGGGGTGTAGAATAGGATAGAGCTGGAGGGGGACCTTGGGAGGCCTTCTAGTCCATCCCCCTGCTCAAGCGGGAGGAAATTGTGGGGAAATTCTCCGAGAGTTCTCGTTCTGCTTGGGATTTGAAGGGAAATTCAGTTGGACGTTTTGCGGAATTGTAATAAAAATGGTTCTATCTTAGCTTCCCCCGAGAAGAAGTGAAAGCAAAACTGCAAATATGCTGGGGATCCCTACTGAGCCGGCGGTGAAGGCTGATGGTTTGGTCGCCCAGTTTTGCTTTCTCGCCCTTCCAAGGTCCTGACTTCGGGCCAACCAAACCCGCCTGGAAGTATTTCTGCCTCCTTTTTACGTACCTGTCTGCACCTCTGTTTCTTTCCCGGCTGCAGCCCCTTCCAGACCTTTGACCCCCGAGAAGTTCTCCGTGCCCCACGTGTGTGCAAAATTTGGGCCTGGGGGCCAGCTGATAAAAGTGCTCCCCAACCTTCCCTCCGAAGGGCAGCCGGCCTTGGTCGAGATGCACAGCTTGGAGGTGAGTCAGGAGAAGCAGCCAGCAGGATGGAAAGCGGCTGCCATGTGCTCAGATAAGAGTAGTAGTAGTAGTAGTAGTAGTATAATAATAATAATAAAGTTGGAAGGTACCTTGGAGGTCATCTAGTCCAACCCCCTGCCCAGGCAGGAAACCCTACACCATTTCAGACAAATGGCCGTCCAGTCTCTTCTTAAAAACTTCCAGTGTTGGAGCCTTCACCGCTTCTGGAGGCAGGTTGTTCCACTGGTTAATTGTTCCGACTGTCAGGAAGTTTCTCCTTAGTTCCAGGTTGCTTCTCTCTTTGGTTAGTTTCCATCCGTTGCTTCTTGTCCTGCCTTCAGGAGCTTTGGAGAATAGCTTGACTCCCTCTTCTTTGTGGCAGCCCCTGAGATACTGGAAGGCTGCTATCCTGTCACCCCTCGTCCTTCTGTTCATTAAACTAGACATACCCAATTCCAGTAACTGTTCCTGGTATGCTTTAGCCTCCAGTCCCCTAATCATCTTTGTTGCTCTTCTCTGCACTCTTTCCAGAGTCTCAGCATCTTTTTTACATCGTGGTGACCAAAACTGGATGCAGTATTCCAAGTGTGGCCTTACCAAGGCCTTGTAAAGTGGTATTAACACTTCACGTGATCTTTATTCTATCCCTCTGTTAATGCAGCCCAGCACTGTGTTGGCTTTTTTGGCAGCTGCAGCACACGACTGGCTCATATCTAAGTGATTGTCCACTAGGACTCTGACGTAGCCTTTGTGTTACGACCACAGTTGACTTATGTTGCTAAGTGAAACGTTTGTCGAGTGAGCTTTGCCCCATTATACGACCTTCCTTGCCACGGTTGTTCAGTGAATCACTGCAGTTGTTAAGCTAGTCAAACGGTTGTTAAGTGAATCTGGCGTCTTCCCCGTGGACTTTGCTTGTCAGACGGTCTCAAAAGCGGATCGCGTGACCCCCCATGGGACGCTGCGACCGTCATAAATGTGAGTCAGTTGCCAGGCCTCTGAATTCTGATCAGATGCTGTAACGGTCGTAACTGTGAAAAATGTTCAGCGCCATTGTAATTTTGAACAGTCACTAAATGAGCTGTTGTAGGTCGAGGTGTTGTAAGTTGTACTCATTGATCGAATTTAGGCACCGCTCGTCTCACTGAGTGATTCAGGGCAGGTGACAGGTAAAACCCATAAAACCATGTAAAAAAGATACCATTAAATTAGACTGAGAACAGGATGAGAAAGAAGGTTAAACTAAGGTTAAAGAATAATTTGAAAGGCAGAGGGAGCGTCCTCAAGGCACCAACTGCCCCAAAGCTACACGGCATTCTTTGAACCCCACATGCCCATCCAGAAGGCCTAGAAAGGGGGGGGCAATCCCACTTTTGGGGGGAGGGTGTTCCATAGGGCAGTGGCAGAGAAGAGTCTCTTCCTAGACCCCACCAGTCAAAATTCTTCAACCGACAGGATTAAACCCTCCCTGCCTGACTGGGTGGGACAGGTCAGTGTAATTGGGACAAGACGCTGCCCCACATGGACTAGCGTCTTATATGGCTCAAGATTTGTTGTTGCAAGGCAAAGGCTGCTGGATTTCACCCCAAGAGTTTCCCAGTGGATTGCACAGCCCAGAGCAAGTACTTTCAACACCAGAAGCATTGAAATGTTCTTGCTGCTAGAGTTGGTAGAGCTGTCAGATCCAAAACAAAGTGTGATTTTAGCACCTCCAGTTCTGCTCCATTGGGTAGGAGTTGCTACTTCCTTAAAGTCTGACTTTTTCCAAAAAGTCAAGACTCGTTCCTTCCCTGCTTTGGTTTTTAAATCAAACTGTTCTGAATGTGGAGAAGCAGAGTTTGAGTGCGCACGCACCCCACTTTGGAAACGCTTGCAGCACATAAGGCTCCTCAAAGGCTTAGCAAGCAGCCCATTTGGCAGATCCCTGGTTTGCAGAACATTTGCACACTCCTAAAATGAAATTATTCTTGCAGAACAGGGAATACGCTGGCCCCGTGCGGTAGACCAGGAGATTAACTCCACAGAAAGGCTAAATCTGTTTTCATTGAGTTTGACTGCAAGAGCCAAATCCCTGCCCTCTGATTGTGCTGGAACATCCCGTGCCTTTTTGTTAGAGAATTTTAATTTCTCTGTTGGTAAAAAATAAATCAGAAGCTCTCACAGTTGACTGCATTTAGCTGATTCAAATAAACTCTTTATATTCATATAAAAATATTTACAATACCATATATTCTTCTTAGCATAAATGAAGACTTCTTACAGCAGAGACAGACCTGAGACCTGAAACCCAGCTTCTAACTCAATAACCTTTTTGCACAGACTCAGTAGCACTTTCTTCACATTGGCTGACTGAGTTACCACATGACTCTTCCTGCTCATGAATATTCCAACACTCCTCCTTTCATGACAGGAAGAGACATCAGACCTATTGACTTAATACATTTTCCATAGTGAATACCACCCAATGGTTTAGTCATTATGTCTGCCAAATTATCCTCAGAAGAACAATGATGTAAACTAATCAATTTTCCTTTTACAGCTTCCCTGACATTACAATACTTAATGTCTACATGTTTACTTCTGTTCTTCACCCTATCACCAGTTGCCATTTTTATACAGGCAGCATTGTCTTCAAATACCTTTACAGATTCTTTTACATTAATATTTAAATCTTGCA